AACCGATTTTACAGTTTTCGCATGTTTATTTGATTTGGATTTTGCACGCAAACTGGTTTTTAGGTTTTCCAGGTTGCAGCTTAGTTTTGACTTCCCCAGTTAATTTGCTCCATTTTGAAAAAAAAGGGCGCGAGTGTATTAATGTACATGCGCAAGAAGTGAAACTTCTTTAGATTGTATATTATAGTAGTATTTAAAAAAAAACTAATCCCTAATTTTATATAAAATTAATAACATAAATACTGCTTGGCTCATATGCTGAGCATATATCGATAAACTCTCAATAAGTAACATGGTCGTCATCAGTAAATAATGCCCGGCGACTATTCTCGGCGTCTCCTCTTTGTGTGGATCTTCGTATACCTTTTCCACCTCTCTCACTCTGCTTAGGTGAATGGTAATTAGAAAAGGACAAGGAGTTTAACAGATTTATTAACTGTACGAGTTAACTCTCATTTCGAAACTCCTATAGTGTCCCATAAAAAGTTTCACTTCAAAAAAAAAAAAAAAAAACAACGAGATACAAATATGAGCACGTGTTCTAGGTCATACTAGTAATACGATTCCACTTGAGTATAACCCTCGCCAGTTACTTGGACATTAGACATGTTAACTTAAAAGCCTTATAACACTAAAAGTGACACAAATACGTTACAATAAGTACTACCATTTGCAGATGTATCCAGTTCCAGAACAAGCTAGTGTAAGTAGTTATAGTTCTGCTCCATCAACTCCAGTGAGTTCACCTCCACCTTTGGCGCCTTCGGGTTGGCTTCCTAATCAAAACGCGCCCACATCACCTCTTTATTCCCAAGCTGTGTCGACAGGCAGTACTAACACAGTTCAGGGTATACATATGGTGAGTATTAGTATGAATTAAAAAATTCTTAACCCTTAATAACCCAACTTTAACATTTTTTTACAATATTTGTAGTGTAGTGTAGCGTAGTGCATTTTATACATGAAAATAGTAGCAGCACGAATATTAGTATTATAGGGAATGCTCTGAAATCAGTGGCAAAAATTGAAACAATTCTAAAAGGTCTTTTGAAATATTGAAGTTTATCTACCTCATAATGCATCGTCACTGTGTAGACTCCGCAAGCAATTTTCAGCTCAAGGAGGATTTTTTCATTTTCATCGTCAACACAGCAGACAATTTGATAAGACAGATAAGAATTTATTGATTAGCATTACTTCATACAGTCGACTATTTTCTCTCTTCTTCTCTTCTCTTCCATCTGAGTGATTTCAAATTACGGTGATTTTTTTTAACTTTCAAGGTATTATTTCTTTCATGTTTTTTGCCATTGATTTTGAGGCACTAGAGATAATGTGCATATGCCACTGCTGAAGCAACAAATCAATCTTTAAACATCGTAAAACGCAATCAAAAGATTTCGTTTAAAAATCTGTAATGGAAAGAGCGGTGGTACGTCGTACTATTGCATTTTAGTCTATAAAAATTACTAAAAAATACATTATCCATTTAATTTAAAAAAATATAATTATTATTTTTATAATACGTAAATACTTAAAGTTATTTATTAACAAATGGTGAAATGAATATACATTATTTTTAGTAATTACTTTTTGAAGTCGTAGAAGAAAAAAGTTTTATTTTTAATTAACCTTGCCTGTTTAGTGATGACGATGATGATGATACTCATCCAGGAAACAAGGCCGTGCGTGAGAAAGAACGCAGGCATGCCAACAACATTCGAGAACGGTATGTAGAAATTCGCTTTTAAATTTTAAAATATATTACAAATAAAAATTAGCTTAGGTTAGGTAAGATTATTCAAATTCACTTTTAAGACACTTATTATTTGTTGAAAACAAGCTTTTGAAATAAAATATGACGAGCTGAATTTTTAATTTCTTTGGACAGGTAAGCATTGCGAGTGTTTCATTAAGTATGAAAAATACACATAATAAAACTAATTGTGAACGTGTGATGAAATATGTTTATAAATAAAATAATAAAACCGTAAATTGTTTGAACAAGGGGTTTAATAAATACTCATGAGAGGTTTCGAGTGAAAAATCATTGTTAATTGTACAGACAATGTTAAAATAAGAAGTACAGCGAAATCATTTGAATACTAACATAGAAAACCCCTTAATTAGCTTACACAGGTACATATCGTATCGCATGCTTTA